AAATTTAATAGGCTACATTAAAATAAATCATATGGTGAAACCTCAATAACAAATGCAAACCACAAGCAGCAATGTTGTTATTTTAGATTCTTAAGTCAAACACCACCATATGATGGTTTCTCTCTCAAATAATCACTACTGGTCTATGTGATTGGGAAACATCATTCTTCATTTTTATCCAATTTGGGCATCAATGAACTTCATTGCTAGTTCCTCAAATTTAACCATAATAATAGTAAAATACAAACCAACCAACCAAGACATCTTAACAATGTCAGAGGGCTTAAAAAATACCAATATGGGACTTCATCTTTTTATAAACACAGCATTCCACAAATCCCTGACTAAATACACAGCGTATTACTGAAGCTGTATCATATCACAACCTTACACACCATTACAGCCTTTACAATTAAAGGGTGAGGTCCAAGTAATCAACTATTAAGACAGTTTATACACATCTCTCCTCTGTAGTTAATGTGATCAAAATTAGAACATTCAAATAAATTATTATATGCCTCTGAAAGAGCTTATCCATGAAAGTTTTCACTAATGAGCCACTCTTGATTTATAATAGTGTTCAATTTGCTTCAAATAGAAATAGTTCAAATTAGTGTCATTGAAGACCTCCTTTGGACTGCAAATTTCTGCCTTAATGACTTTTGCATTCTGTTTACTAAAACATTTTCCCCTGAGACTACATGGCATTAACAAATTTAATGAGATGGTCCAAATTTTCCAGAGTAATTTAGTTTCAAATGTATTATTTTTCAAGAGTTGGGAAGAAAATGAAAAGCTTTTTCTTTTAAGACTATAATATTATGTAAGAATGCACAGAGACCAGAGCTAGGATAATGTTTATTAACAGCAATTCTCTTTTGAGCCTTACTGTATATTTTTTAAATGCTACTCGGAAAAGTTGGATATATTTAATGTTATTAGAAAGCTCAAATTGAAGTCTCAGTTTTCCCATATCCTGTTCCTACTATTGGTTTGAATTAGATCCATAAGAGGATGCCTGAGAGCATGCCTAAGAACTTAATACAGTTTCAAAAATTCAGCATTAATTATGAATTATGTGACACTACACACATCATTAAAGAAAAGTGCTTCTCATTTTGCCAAGAAACATCACAGAAGTCAGATGATTTCTTTGCTATAAAAACAAAAGATTATTGAAATGATTTGGATAACAGAAAAACAAAATACTGAGAAAGAAGGGTCAAAAAAGGGAGTAAACTTCACCGTCATGTGATAGATAGCAGAAGTGGAATTAGGTGAATGTTTACTTATAAAAATCTGTCCTATGGTCAACAGTCTTATAAGTGAATCCCTCCTTTTAGAAGACATTTCCATAGAAGTTACAATAAGAGAAATGGAGTTTCATTTTGGAATAACATGCAAAGGTTATTCACTATTAGGTGTGTAAGTATCACCTTTTTCAAAAAGACATACCTGGCTTGTAAAAATTTTAGGGTAAATGTTCAGTATTTCTTTATCCCCTAACTAAAACAAGTGTTATACATGTCTACTTTTATCAGCTTACACAAAATTTTCTTAGCAAAGAAATGACTTCAATATTTTCTTTCATTTACCATGTTTTACCAGTGGACGTAATGGACACCTAAAAATTACATAATTTTCAAAATCTTATTTGAAAGAGTCACAGAACTACAAAGATATGAAAGGAACTGAATCTTATTTATCTGTATCTTCTTCAGTCAATTATGCCACCATTAGTAAATCCTTCCCACCCCCAGTACTCAGGAGCCTATTTCAATTACACTTATTCAATTATCACCATTAGATTTAAGACAAGCGCCTTCAAGAGATTTCACTATATGGGGGAATGATGGATACAAAAGAAAACAGATCTCCGGGCCGTGCACAGTGGCTCATGCCTGTAATACTAGCATTCTGTGAGGCCAAGGCAGGAGGATCGCTCAAGGTCAGGAGTTCAAAACCAGCCTGAGCAAGAAAGAGATCCTGTCTCTACTAAACATAGAAATTAATTGGCCAACTAAAAAAATATATAGAAAAAAGCTAGCTGGGCGCATGCCTGTAGTCCCAGCTACTTGGGAGGCTGAGGCAGAAGGATCACTTGAGCACAGGAGAGTTTGAGGTTGCTGTGAGCTAGGCTGACACCACAGCAGTCTACTCAGGCAACAGAGTGAGACTGTCTAAAAAAAAAAAAAAAAAAGATATCCAATTAAGGAGTCTTACACTGTGTGCTGAGGTTATAAAATATTCCAATGGAATATTCTGTCATGGAAATAACAAAAATTTTAAAAATATTTGCAGGGCGCAGTGGCACTTGCCTATAATCTCAACTACTCAGAGACTGAGACTAAGACGGGAAGACTGCTGTGCCCTGGAATTCAAGGTCATCCTGGTAGACCCTGCCTCTAAAACATAAAATAGAATACAAAATACAATATTTTAAATATCAAACTCCTTTTCCATATTTCAATAATAGCAAAAAACATCATGTTCTAATTCAGCAAATCAAAATCTGGAACTCATTTAATTCATGGGTTTTCTTTATGCTTCCAAGAATGAAAATCACACAAACAATTCTGGGTTTGCTAAATGCTATATTGTATGTTAATTGTTACTGTTCAAGAGGAAAATGCTCTCTGGATATAAGGGTGGCTCAAATACACAGAACAAAAGTAATTGAGGTTTATGTTTTTGGCCTCTTTTCCAATTCCCTCTTTTATTCTCTACAACAAATACACATACATACATACTTTTCTCACCAAATAATGGCAAATTTTAGTGGTAAACAAATGTAGATACTTTTCATGTGTGCATAAAACACTGTTAAGTAAGGCTGAAAATGAACCTCAAAAATAGTTATTCTAAAATCATAATTTAACATACTAATAACTTTACCACATGATCCAATATCAGTTTGGCTACCTAAAAATTAGTCATCTATCCATGCCGGATAGGTCTGTAATACTTGAACTCTTATTATATCAACTGTGTGGTATATATACACCTACACATACACACACATACATACTACCTTCCCATTCTTCACAGGGCTCTACATTAACATTTGCTCTAATGTGGTGGTTTTTTTCACATTAAAAATCACAAGCATTTGCAGATAACCTTTCAGCCTTAACATTCAATGCTTAAGTTTGGGAATAAGAATGTAGATTTTAGGTATCCAGTAGCATTTCCAATGATTATACATATCCTTAAGGTTAAATTGAATAGTTTGAGGAGAAAATAACCAGTAAGATTTTCCTGGAAGTGAAAGTGGAAAACTTGAATAAAACAATTCATGCCTCCAAATCAAGGGCAAATTTTATGAATTTACTTTAGTTCAATATAGTCATACGAGCTTTAGCTGATGATTATTATATAACACAAAACAAATTATATAAAACAGCATGAGATACTTTTTATTTTATGTTTAACACCACAGTCAAACGTGAATATTAATATAGAGCCTTCTCTGCCAAAAGAGTATAAAAATCCTAAGTTTAATTAAATTTAGGGGCCTTCACCAAACTTGCTGCAAGTTTGGGGACATAAATATCCAACAGCTATAAAGCTGTGAAAGCCCCCATAAGGAATAAAATAAATCCCACTTGCCTCAGACTGAACAGGGCAACACTGAGACTCAGCCTCAGCCTGTCCTATGGCAGGGCTATAGGAAGAAGAAAATTTTAATTTTAGAAAAACATTACCCAATTAATTTAAAAGACATGCATTAAATTTTTTTTAAAAAAAATCCCAATGATCAAGCAAGCAACAGAAAAAAAGAGTAGCTCTTTTTTGTTTTATTATTGTCCACTATAATTCCATTCCAAGCCCATACTTATTTTGGTTGGGGATGCCCCCCAAGAATATCTAAGTTTAATTAAGCTGAGTTTACGTGGAACGTATGACTTGATCAGTGGAATAGAGTACACTAGGAGTATTTTCCTCATATCTAATGGCAAATGTGTGAGAGATTAAGTATTCAAATAAAATAATTCCACCAACCACTCAAATGTTGGTCCTCACCTTCTGCTCTTGTTACTGTCAAACAGTAGCAAAACTTTCACAATAGAAACTAGTGCCAGACAAAATGTTTTTGTTTTTCTAAAAAATGTAGATACAAGCTAGACCCAAAGATGCCAGCCCTATTAATCTTACAACTTCCTTAATTATAGCAATCATAATGCCTGCCTGAATATATTGAGTCCCAAATGTCTTCTGTGAGGGCAACTGAGTTCACTTTGACTCAACTCCATCTATTACTTAAGGAAACTTAAGTCAGAGTTTATTATTTCAACATATTTTCTTCCATCATGATCCAAACACACTATGGACCCCAGAAGCCTTTAGGTAAAAAAGGTATTTTCTAGAAGCTTAATTATGCTTGGATACATGCAACAATTACACATTAAGTATATTAAATGGGCACCACCTCTGAGCCACATAGCTATAAATGAACTCATGCACTTATTTTAAGTGTCAATGCATAAACAACCCTTTCAATTAATTTTAAATCAGAGCTCTACCACTTATTTCTAAGTTATATTTTCTCCCTTAATATGTGAGAGCAAAAAATCTTGCTATAAAATATCAGTCCTCTTTGCATAGAACAGAGTTTTGCATAATTTTTAAAACAGGTCTACTAAACCCCTGGCGGTTTGTTGGTAAGCCTGGGAATGAAATTCTTAAGAGACATTGGTTTGTGAAAGGATCTCCTATTTAATCATTCCAAAATGAATCATGCCATTTATCTTAAGTATTTTCAACACAGGTTTTTCTTTGGCAGGATAATAAATGTGCTGCCAAATCTAAGCATATATTAATTCCAAAACCATTTAGGTAGACAGTCATTCAGTTGGGGAAGTGGTGTGGGACTCAGCAGCTAATAGAAGAAATGCATTCTTGATGATATATGGATGTTTTCTTTTCAAACTATGGAATTTTTTGCACCTCTATGGTACCACAACACAGGAACTAAAAAATCATTTGAGCAAAATATCAGATTTAAAATAGAATTCAGCTTTATAATACTTGCAAATGTTTTGTTTCAAGGAATGACTTTTACTGGTCACTTCAATACAGACTTCTGTGATGGTTAAGACATTTTTCAATACATCTTCCTTCAAATTTAAAGCCCTTATTTCCTTACAACTTCAGATTTCACATCTTTTATCTATACCTTCACATAAGTTATAAAATGTTACCACTTTCTTAGAAGTCTTAACTTTATACTGAGAAAACTTCAAATGGAGTGCATCATATCAACAATTATTTTGTATGGGTTATTTGATATTTAATCATAAAACTAACCTGCAAAAGTAAAGATCAGAAAAACTTGCCAAAATGTCAAGAGCTACTATTATAAGAGACTTGTAACACAATATACTGAATAGCAGTCATCTCTACAGATAAGTTCTCTGTAAGAACACAGTAACATTCAAAATTTCCAAGGATGAAAAGTTGAACAGTAAAGCCAAAGGCTTACTAACAGAAGGTACTCAATATATAATCAAATGAAAATGTAATCTTCCAGGAACATAAAGCAGATTTTCAATCCTTCTGTTTGTTAACCATCCTAACAGAGGCACATTTAGATTCTTAGCATTACACTTAGAATAATAATATACCAGCCCATTAACAGCACAAAAAGCTATTACTGCATGCACCTAAGCTTCTAGAAGTTTGCACCTGAAAAGCTTCTGAGGTCCATGCAGTACTGAAGTCACAAAAATAATCAAAAGGAAATGAATGGGTCTGGCACTAGGCTCTAAACATCTAAGCAGGAAGGAAAAGTTATTAAGGTTTACATATTAAAATGACATCTGACATGTACTGACACCAAAGAGGTGTGAAAGGTGAAAAGATTCCATACCTGTATTATGTAAGACTCATATATAGCTAAGCTTTTTGTTAACTAATGCATTAACATACAATTCTATATATACTGTTCAGTTTAAAATATGCAGGTAAGGAATAACCTACAACTCAAAGACAGAATCCAATAATATATCAAAACTGCATTGGTAACTATGAATTTTATTATGTGGACATCTACTATGGCATGCATCTGTACAAACCTTTTGGGCAGTGGTCCACAGCTGGGTTATGAATAAAAAGGCATAAATTTTTCTCTCATTTTATTACAATGAAGTTTAACAGTACAGAAAAGTCACATGACCTTGGTGGGTCAGATTTCTTAAACCCTGCAACATGAGGAACTCTAAATACATTAAATATTGTTACACATTCAGACTTCCAATGTACAGGTACTTGGAAACAGTTACAGCCCTCACCAAGCTAGGTTGGGGACATGAAGTCCAACAGCATCTGAAATGCTGTGAAGGCATAACTTTACAAATAGCAATGTAAGCTTACAGAACTTGCCTTTATTAAGGTGGTATGTTCATGTAATTCCAGCGCCTTCACAATTTAACGAACCAAATTTACTATACTTCACTTCTAAAAACCTAGATGAAACATGAAAAAGAAGCCATACAGTATAAATTGCAACTTCAGGAAAAGTTCCTGCTTTTATTATTCCAAATAATTTTTCCCATGTAAAATAAATGTCCAATAGTTCCTGGTATGTGGGAAGATAATGTTTGTTAAAGTCACAATGAAGCCTTATTGACGGAAGCTTGGCTATATAAACAGCACAAGTTGAGAAAAGGTTTAATCTCCAAACCTATTAGACTGGATGAAGTAAGATCAGTAGCGGCCACCTTGCGACATTACAGGAGGTCTCATTCCCATCGGAGGTCGAGGAGGCCCACCTTGGTAAGGGGGCACCATTGGCGGTCCCTGCCCATATGGCGGCATAGCACCAGGAAGATAACCTGGCATGCCTTGATGATGACCACCATACTGACCTATAAAAACACATTTAAAACACAAAAATAGATTGAGTTGGTCTATGCATTGTACTTTTAAATGCAAAAATGCATTTTACAGATAAATTTAACATTTTATGTGTATACTCAGAAAATCCACTAAACATAATAAACATAAAAAGAAGAATACCATGAGGTGGCATTGGGGGTCTCATTCCTTGTTGCTGTGGGATGCCTGGCTGTGGTGGCATCATACCTCCAATTGGTCCAACTGGTGGATTACCAATGGGGGCCTGTCCTGGTCGAGGAAGATTACGCTGGTATTTAGGTAACTGTGCCCTTCTCTCTTCCTGGGAATGAAAATAAGCACAATGTTAAATGACTAAATGCAATAAGCTTCATTAAGCATAAAGGCATGCATCTAAAATCTTTAGAGTCACAGTTTTATTCCCCAAGAAATTACTTTTGTCCCACAAACCAGTACCATTATTTAAAATCTCAATGCCTTAAAAAAAAAATTTCACCTAGTTTTATACTCCAAGCATGGCTAATCAACTTTCCAGGAATTATAAGTTGCTTAGACAAGAAACTAGTAAAGTATTATTACCAAAATCCTAAATATTAACTTTGTATCAAAATTAATTCCTTTATAGGGGCTTCAAGGGAACTGCAGGAGTCTACCTCACAATGTTTCTTCAATTAAAATATGCAAATTTATGTCTAACTAAAATGATTTTTTAAGAGAGTAAGAACCCAACTTACTGTCTTCTTTTAGAAACAGTCTGGAGGAAGGAGAGGGAAAGCATCTAAGACCAAAACATGCAATATCCATCCACTTTTAAGTATTTTGTGGTTTCTTAAAATTAAATCAAAATGGTAAAAACCACTTAGTATTAAATCATATCATAGACCATCTGAGTACAAATTAACACTTTCAAAGGGACAAATCTGCTTCAATGGTTTCAACTCAAATGCTGCTAGTAAAAAACTGAAAACAACTTACCAGTGATATATCCTCATCTGGATGGATCAACTTACTGGTTGCACTGGTTGTCGTAAGTGTAGCAGGCTTACTTGTTATTGAAGCTGCTGGTTTAGCTGCAGTACTATTTGTTGTACTAGTGGTTGAAGCTGTAGACTGCGTGTAAGCAGGGAATGTAGGCTTTGGGGGTTCTGTAGTTGTTGCCGGGGTACTATTTAAAGGCTTGAAATCTGTACCAACCGGTCCCTGGACAGCTGCCTGAGCCTGCAAAATACAATCCTTCATCAATGAAACTTCAAAACCCCAAATTATGTATCTATGAACAGTTTATCTTAAAAACAAGACACCAACATTAAAGGATCAAATTTTAAATGAAATTAAAACAAATATAAAACACTCCACAAAATTCAAGATAACCCATAAGAATATCAAAAGATGCTAGGTTAAAGTCATGTCCAGTCTAAAATACCCTAGTGAAAATAAGAAATAAGACTGTCTACGTAACTTCTCAGATGTCTTCTACCTCCTCACCAAAAGTTAAATTTACAATGCTTTGCATTTATTCCAAATTGCTAAAATACAGTGTTCTATTTTTATTATTCTAAATTAGTTGTTTAAAGTAATTAATCTATCAAGTATCCCAAACAACAAAAACCCTACAGAATATGAGTTTAGATAAACCCCAGTTACTAAATATAGCATGAACAATTATATATAAATGGTGACACATTAAAAATATGTCCTTTAAAAGTACTTCTATATTAATACAATCCCCTTTGAATTAACAATGACTGGATAATTATCATGGAGGAAAGCCTTGATTTAGGAGGATCTTTTAAGTAACAAGTTACCAGTAACAAATGTGTTACTTTTCATAACATCAAACACATCTAAAACAAGTAGACTAGGCCAACTTTAGAACCAAATGCAGAACACTAAATTTTCTTACATTAAATGTGATGCATTAAACAGCATAAATCAAAATAGCTTAATCATGCATCAGGCTAACCATTGGCCACTATAATGCATTTACTGCTTACATGCTTTTAACCCTTTAGAACCACAAGAGTTTAGGGTACTTTTTGTTGTTAGTATGAATTCAAATTTTCAAATACCATTTGACTTATATACCATTAATTTTACTTTTAGAAAATTAAACATATCATAGTATATTTTTGGACAAAAATTTGGTTTTTAAGTAGGGTCCAAAGGGTTAAGTTAAAAAGCCATTTTAACAATTTTAAACTGCAACTTCCTGCGTACTTGTGCTGTGCTAGGAAACAGAGCTTTAGAAGATGCAGACAGACTTTCTGAATTGGATGAAGCTGTACTTGAGCTTGTTACAGGTGTCCCCATCTGTAGCATAAAAGAAAGGAAACAATGAAAAGTCTCCAAACAAATGGGTGAATATAAGCCATGTGGTAGACTTTTTAGTATAGATTGCATTTTTGCAAATGCAAAATTTAATGCAATCGAATGTCATTTATTTAAAGAGGCAGGCAGTTAATGCATTTACAATAAACAAAATGAAAGAATGAGCCTCAAAAAAATTGTTTCAATTCTACACCAATAAGCCTAGTTAATAGTTAACCACTTTCTTTTCTAAAACTAATGTTTTGCATTGTGATATTACAAGAATGATACCTTAAACTGAGAATAAAGGATGCATAAACACTGACACTCCAATCCAATTCTTTTTTTTCAATCCAATTCTTTATGATTCTCTACAAAATATTTTTGACCAAAAGTTTTACATCTCTCAATAAACAAAACTCCCATCTATTATAAATAACAATGTGCTTAAAGGGTATATAAAGGTATGCTTTTAATTTGGCACCCACAAATAAAAAACCTTAAAAAAAGAAATCTAAGGGATAATCAAGGAAAAATGATGAACATATACCCTGATGTTATAAATTCAGAATGAATTAAATATGAATCTGCTTAATTTTGAATGAAACCTAAAAAAAAAACAAAGGTTTTAACCATTATGTGCATACTATATATAACAGAAGCATCATTCACTTAGGTTTTAGAAAAAGTTTTGAAAGTTTTGAAAAAAGACAAGACCAGTAGGAAATAAAAGAGTGACTAGGACAAAATTATTAAATCATGCCTTTCTAGCAACTGTCTAGCACTGGAGTTCACTGTTCTAAACTAGAAGAAGAGCCCAACAAATGATCTGCTAAGGTCCTAAGGACTTTCAACTTTAGCCTTGGTTTCATTCCACTCATAGTTCAATAGATAAAGGAGGACCTCTAAATGTTTCAAAAACTAGACTTCCATTTCTAGCTCCATCTATGAAAAAGAGTCAATAGCTATTGACAAAGTAATATTCTATCTCTGGCTCCATTAAAACTTTTATGAGTAGAGAAAATCAATGTGTAAACATGGAAGAGAATAAGCCACCATTTAAAAATATCATGAACAAAATAATTTACTTATGACAATTTCAAAGACTTCTGTAAACAACTACACTTTACCTTTACATATATTTATTCCTTTTCAGGAATTTCACCATACCTGTCCAGCACTGGGGAAAAGAGGCTTAGTAACTGGAGGCTGTGGCGCAGGTACTGTTGCTGTTGGTGCAGGTGGTCTATTAAGAATACCTGGTGCTGAAACAGCCTGTGCTTGGGTCATTGGAGGGATTCCAGGACGTGGAACAGGGGGAGGCATACCTGCAAAGAAAAAAATGTTTGGGGGACTCAAGTCACTGAAACCTTCAGTTCGTAAAAAAAATGCTTCTATACTGTAAAATTATTAACAACTGACTGCCAAACAACTCAATGAAGTCCAAGGAACTTAGTCATTTTCCCCTGCAACAATCTTGCCTCAAAAATTTTTCCCTTCCTAGGCCAGGTGTGGTGGCTCACGCCTATAATCCTAGCACTCTGGGAGTGCCGAGGCAGAAGGATTGCTTGAGCTCAGGAGTTCGAGACCAGCCTGAGCGAAAGCAAGACCCCGTCTCTACTAAAAATATAGAAGGAAATCAGCTGGACAACTAAAAAAATATATTAAAAAAATTAGCCAGGCATGGTGGCACATCCCTGCAGTTCCCGTAACCCGGGAGGCTGAAGCAGTAGGATCACTTGAGCCAGGGAGGCTGAGACAGTAGGATCACCTGAGCCCAGGAGTTTGAGGTTGCTGTGAGCTAGGCTGACGCCACGGCACTCAAGTCCAGACAACAGAGTGAGACTCTTTCTCAAAACAAAAAAAAATAATTTTCCCTTCCTTTGTATTGCTTCAGAATTTTACTAAGTAGAAGACACCACTAGACCCTGAATAGAGCAAAATAGTAATTAAGCTTACTGATTTACAAAATTCTTGAAATAAGAGAATTATTTCAATGATCAAAAATTATCTGTTCCCTGAACACTAATGCAAATTATAGTAAAAACTTTGATGAATCAAATGACCCATAAAAATTCTGAAGTTATTCCTATAAACACTTCAAACATATTTTCCTGAAATGCATCACTAGTGCTTTCTTTAAACTTCCTCAACATAAAATTTTACTCCACATTATCAAATGATCAATTATTATTCTATATATAATCTTAGCTTAGAAAAGCTAAGGTTAGCAAAGTAAAAAGTCAAAATAGCAGGGTTCTTGGTATCATAGACCCATTGAATCTACTGCTTTTGTTTCCATTGAGACAATAAAATGCACAGCATATTAGGTTTCTCTATGTGCTAAAATATTCTATATTATTTGTTTAAAATATTCGTAACAGATTCAAGTATATGGGCTTCAGTGCACAAGCTCCGTTACTCATTTTGGTTGCTTTGAAGCCTATTGTTTTTACTATTTCAAACCTCCAAAAAGGTCCACCGTAACACTTCTCACATTCATTACTTTTAGAAGAAACTTACAACCAACCTATAAAAATTTAAAAAATTATATTGCACCAATGTCCACAAATCTATTGTCTAAAAATCTTCAGGAATAAAGCCTGCCAGTCATATTAAATGTCATACCTGGTGGCATACCAGGCATCAGAGGTGGTATTCCTGGTCCAGGTGGCATCATTCCACCCATTGGCATCATTCTATTAGAAAGCAAAGTTCAAGAAATTGAAGTTAATTAACAGTATAAACTATTAGAAAATATTTTGGCTAAAGCCTGAAACAACACTAGATAAAATACTTGAATTTGACCTCTAATGTTGAAACAAACCAAGCTGAAAGAACACAACACACTAGAATAATCCTATCAAAATAAATCCTCTAAACCCCAACAAATTCTTGAGGTTCACCAGTAAAGGCAAAGAAAAAATTAAAAAATAAAAATTTTTTAATGAATCTGTCTTTGTCAACAAAACATTTACAGTCATTGAGAAAAAAATATACTCTCCTTAACATGTACAAGAAAGCAAAGTCACCTTTTTCAACTTGGAAAATATCCACAAAGAATATAAAAAAAAAATCTCTATTCAGAGTTGTCAGATTTTTCAAAAGGAAAATACTGAATGTACTCTGTGGAATAAGATTTTTTTTTAAGAACAAGGAAAAACTACTACCAAAATTAGACAGTCAAGTAAATTTAGATTGAATAATTTCTATTTACAATAGCTACCTAACACTAAACCATGACTTAAAATCCTAACCCATAATTATTTTCCTTCCCTTAAGAGCTCACCTTCAAATATCAGTGTCCAAATCACTTAAAAATAAGTTTGCAACTCTTGACTTAGACCTTTTATCTGATTAACTTCCCTATATAGATTTCATTAGAAAATTCAATTACACCCTATAATGACAAAGCATGTAATCTGGCAGAATATATACTCTTTCTTAAATATTAACAGATCCCATTACTTTTAATAGTTTGGGGAAAATAGCTGCACATTTAGAATATACTTTATTTATATGGGTCTATTACTATTTCCTCACAGATGTTTTATTTCCCTCCTTTAAGAGATCTGTGTCATTCAGCTTGCAAATTTTAGAAGTTTTAGTGAGGAAGGTTAGAAAATTTCTGAAGTCAACTGACTATATATCATTAAACACACACAAAAAAGGACATTATGATTATACCTCCTGAATTACATTATGAATGAGATGCTTACATGTTTTCACCGCAAAATGACTGGGTGTATTTTCTCTGATGATGCAATCTGTGAAAATGTATGACAAAATCAAAATCTAACTGTGATTTTCAAAATACAGTGGGAAAGTGTATTGTATACCTCTCACATCCAACAATATTTAAGTAAAAGTGATGGGCACGAGCACCTCATATTCATTTTAGTTTTGATGCTTTGACAAATAAATCATTTACAGAGTTTGCTTCTTGTCACAACTACAAAGTGTCACGGATAGTTCGGAATCTCAGAAATTCAAATCTACAACCAACTACTTTAATCACAGCAAATGCAATTGAAGCAGATGGCTGCCTACATATATCCTAAAACCCAAAAATCTACTCTCTTCAGAGGCAAATATTTCTTAAATTTATTGACTGACCCCTTTATTAGACAAGTTTAAGATTAATAGAGCCCATACCTTCTAGAAGCAAAAAATACAAAGTAACATTTAAAAACTCACATAACACCCAAAGTGAAAAGAATTATTACTAGGCACAAGCCCACAAGGCAATTATGAGTTTTCTTACCCAGGTGGCATGCCTGGCATAACTGGTGGCATTCCAGGCATCAGAGGAGGAACACCTGGCATTAATGGAGGTATGCCTACGAGTAAGAATTTCAACATAAAAAAACCACAATATTAAAGAGAGGAAGAAAGTACTATTTCAATATAGTATCAATAAAGTCCTAAGAATTTTAAGAAACCTTATGTGCTACCTGGAGGCATTCCTGGTGCTCCTGGAACTGGTGGCAGTCCTGGCTGTGCCATTGGAGGGATATAACCTTGTTGAGGTTGAACAGGTTGTGGTTGAAATGAAGTTGAGGCTGCAGAGTCATCATCATCATATTCATCAGAATCATCTTGTTGCTTCTTTTTTTGACTTTCTGCTAAACAAAGTCTTGATTAATATTTTCCATAAAGTAAAAAAAGAAAAACTAAAAAATTTCAGGACATGAACATTAAAAATACATGTATTTCAGGGCCAAGAGTGGTGGCTCACATCTGTAATCCTAGAACTTTGGGAAGCCAAGGCAAGGGGATTGCTCCAGACCAGCCTGAGCAACAGCAATAGTGAGACCCCGACTCTACAAGAAGTAGAAAATTTAGCCAGGCATGGTGGTACATGTTTGTAGTACCAGTTACTTGGGAAGGCTGAGGCAAGAGAATTGTTCAAGCCCAGGAGTTTGAGATTACAGTGCGCTATGATGATGCCACTGCACTCTAGCCCAAAAGACAGAGCAAGACTGTCTCAAAAAAACAAAAAAAAACAAAAACACACACATACTTCAATGCAGTTAGTTCATTGAGATTTTTCTTGTAAAAAATTCAATTAATACTATTCTCTACTCTTCAAAAGCAGCTTTCAGGAAGGGGGCGGGTATATACATACATAAAGAGTGAGATGTGCACCATCTGGGGGATGGTCATGCAGGAAACTCAGACTTGTGGGGGGAGGGGGGTAAAGGGCATATATTGAAATCTTAAAATTTATACCCCCATAATATGCCAAAAAAATAAATAAAAGCAGCTTTCTATTACACCCCAAAAGGTGAACTATGACAAAGTCTGACCTTCATAAAGCTCTTCAACACAAAGAAAATTTTCTAGGTGATTAATGACAGCTTCTACCATCTGGATATTATATAACATTAAATTCCAACCCGAACAATAGCATTAAAACACAAAACAAAAAACTTTAATTAGTGATTACACAAATCAAAAGAAGTTATACTTTCACTTTCGTAGGCCTTTCCTAGGCCTTGCTAATTCCACTAGGATTCAATTATGAATAAAAATATAAAATGTTTACAAAGATCCAAATGGCATTGCATATACGCAAACCAGGTATATAACTTCGTATATAAAACAAAGAAAAAAAAATAGAACTCAAAATTGAGAATTCTGAGCCAGGCACAGTGGCTCACACCTGCTAAGCCAACAGCACTTTTCGATACTGAGGCATGAAGATCAATCACTTGAGGCAAGGTGTTAAAGACCAGCCTGGGCAACACAGTGACATCCCATCTCTACAAAATAAAATTTTCATAACAAAAATTAGGCCGGTGTGGTGATACATGCCTCTAGTCTTAGCTACTAAGGATCCCGCCAATGAGGTTCACTCAAACCTAGGAATTCCGGGTTACAGTAACCTATAATCTGGCCCCGAGTGACAGAGATTTCATCTCTTAAAATATTGAGACTTTTACTATCATCCACCATTAAATTTATACTTGAAAATAATAATTCTCATTAAAGTCAGTCAGAAAAAAGAATACAGCTTAATATTTACCTTGTGTTTTCTGTTCAAGAAGTCGTCGTCTTTCATCCATGTCTTTTTCTGGAATACCTTCCATACCATATATTTCCAACTCTATGTCTGTTCTCCCAGGTATTGCATTTGGTACAGCATCTATTGTCTCTTTATGCACCTAACCCATCCCCCCAAAAAAACCACAACTTCCATTAGATAAGATAGACAAAAATGCCTCATAAAAGTCTTTGTAAGAATAATTTCAAATTACTCAAAAACCACTTAGAGTAATGGTAAAGAATAAATGATTCTATAGTGGGACTGTCTGGACTCACTTCCTAGTTTTGCTATTTACTAGCTTTGTGACACTGAGCAAGTCACTGGACCTCCCTACACTTCGCTCACTCTCTTCACTTCACCTACATACTAGAGAACATCCAGAGTTTTTAGAATTAAATAAAATGGTGACTGTAAAAGCACATGGCAGATGTCCAACACATAGTTAAGGGATCAATAAGTATTCTCTCAAGTTTACCATATAATCTTCAGTGCTTGAATTATTAGCAATACCTAGTAGTTCTATCCAAACCAGAGATGTTTTGAGTCTGAACTAAGATTATGAAACAGCTTATACTAAGAATCAGAATAGGCCAGGCCCAGTGGCTCACAACTATAATCCTAGCACTCTGGGAAGCCAAGGCGGGATCCCTCAAGGTCAGGAGTTCCAAACCAGCCTGAGTGAGACCCCGTCTCCACCAAAAATAGAAAGAAAAAAAAAAAAAAAATCGACCAACTAAAAATATATATACCAAAAAAAATTAGCCAGACATGGTGGTGCATGCCTGTAGTCCCAACTACTCAGGAGGCTGAGGCAGAAGGATCACTTGAGCCCAGGAGATTGAGGTTGCTGTGAGCTAGGCTGATGCCACGGCACTCACTCTAGCCTGGGCAATAAACAAAGTGAGACTCTGTCTCAAAAAAAAAAAAAAAAAGAATTAGAATATAGGAAATATTTTCCAAGAACAGACCTGATTAGCACTCTGGGAGGCCGAGGCGGGCGGATTGCTCGAGGTCAGGAGTTTGAAACCAGCCTGAGCAAGAGTGAGACCCCGTCTCTATAGAAAGAAATTAATTGACTAACTAATATATATATATATAGAAAAAATTAGCTGGGCATGGTGGTGCATGCCTGTAGTCCCAGTACTTGGGAGGCTAAGGCAGTAGGATTGCTTGAGCCCAGGAGTTTGAGGTTGCTGTGAGCTAGGCTGACACCACAGCACTCACTCTAGCCTGGGCAACAAAGCGAGACTTTGTAACAGCAGGTATGTCTCAGATCTCAAAAAAAAGGGAAGAGATCTGAGACATACAAGCTGTTACAAACTACAAAAGGTATATTCACAGTTAGTATCACCCATAACTAATGAGGTATTTGAGGCACTTTAAGATATTTATTGTAATACACTGGAAATTTAGGACTTTTCTTTCTGTATGGTTTTGCTAGATTAAACCTTTCTAATTCTCAAATACCAATTCTCTTTCTAACTCTGGATACCTTCAGCCAATATGGTACTATCTTTGCCAGTTGTGGTTTCTTCAGCAAAAGCCACTAACTTAGGCCAGTGGACATAAAAGTATTTTGCCTATACTATAACCATCATCTGTAAGCTTATTAGAAATGCAAATTCTCAGGTCCCACCAGAGACCTGAATCAGAAACTCTAGGGTAGAGCCAACAATCGGTGTTTTTTTTTTTTTTTTTTTGAGACAGTCTCGCTTTGTTGTCCAGGCTAGAGTGAGTGCCATGGCGTCAGCCTAGCTCACAGCAACCTCAAACTCCTGGGCTCGAGCGATCCTTCTGCCTCAGCCTCCCAAGTAGCTGGGACTACAGGCATGAGCCACCATGCCGGCTAATTTTTTTATATATATATCAGTTGGCCAATTATTTCTTTCTATTTATAGTAGAGACGGGCTCGCTCTTGCTCAGGCTGGTTTTAAACTCCTGACCTTGAGGGTCTCGCTCTTGCTCAGGCTGGTTTTGAACTCCTGACCTTGAGCAATCCGCCACCTCGGCCTCCCAAGAGCCTAGGATTACAGGCGTGAGCCACCGCGCCCGGCACAATCGTTGTTTATAAGCCCTTCTTGGTGACTGTGATGCTCACTCCTGCTTGAGAACACTGATTTCGGCTAATGACTTGGATATATTTGCCCAAGTTATACTCATTTTTCTTTCCTCCCAACATATTTGCATGTATGAACAAAAAAGTAACTAAAGAAAGCTAAGTATTTTCTTCTTAGCAATGCAGCTCACAAAAAAGATTTTAAACAATGACATGTAAATCAAATTCAAAAGTTATCTTAATTTCTAATTAAGATATATTTTTACATCTATTTCTCATACTGCAATTAAAAAATCCATGGCCAAGCAAGACATGGTGGTGCACTCTAGTCCCAGCTACTCAGGAGCCTGAGGCAGGAGGATCACTTGAGTCCAGGAGTTCAAGGCTGCAGTGAGCTGTGATCAAGCCAGATGAGCAAGACCCACAGAGCAAGACTCTTACTTTAAAAAAAAAAAAAAAAATAGATAAAATTCTCTCAACAAGTAACTTCAGCATCCTGTTTCCTAAGCGTTTTTTTGGGAAACATATCGCTATTCTTCATAAATGCAGATAAAGCAGCTCATATGTTCTTTTTCTTTGAGACAGAGTCTTGCTTTGTTACCCAGGCTAGAGTGAGTGCCGTGGCGTCAGCCCAGCTCACAGCAACCTCAATCTCCTGGGCTCAAGCGATCCTCCTGCCTCAGCCTCCCGAGTAGCTGGGACTACAGGCATGCACCACCATGCCCGGCTCATTTTTTTCTATATATATTAGTTGGCCAATTAATTTCTATTTATAGTAGAGACGGGGTCTCACTCTTGCTCAGGCTGGTTTCGAACTCCTGACCTCAAGCAATCCACCCGCCACCGCCTCCCAGAGTGCTAGGATTACAGGCATGAGCCACCACGCCCGACTCATATATTCTTTAAAGAAATACAATTATTCACACACATTAAATCTTCACTGACGGCCAGGCTCCATGGCTCACTCTAGGCTAGGTGTAATCCTAGCACTCTGGAGAGCTGAGGCAGATGGATCGCTCAAGGTCAGGAGTTCGAAACCAGCCTGAGCAAGAGCGAGACCCTGTCTCTACTATAAATAGAAAGAAATTAATTGGCCGACTAATATATATAGAAAAAATTAGCTGGGCATGGTGCACATGCCTGTAGCCCCAGCTACGCAGGAGGCTGAGGCAGGAGGATTGCTTGAACCCAGGAGTTTGAGGTTGCTATGAGCTAGACTGACGCCACGGCACTCACTCTAGCCTGGGCAACAGAGTGAGACTCTGTCTCAAAAAAAAAAAAAAAAAAAAAATTAGCCGAGCATGGTCACACATGCCTGTAGTCCCGGCTACTTGGGAGGCTGAGGCACAAGGGTTGCTTGAGCCCAGGAATTTGAGGTTGCTGTGAGCTAGGCTGATGACATGGAACTTTAGCCCAGGCAACAGAGTGAGACTCTGTCTCAAAAAACTAAAACAAATAAATCTTCATTGCATTTAAGAGTGATAAGGGTTGATAAATGATAAATATATTAATTTAAAGGTGTTGGTTAGAGAACAGCATGATCTACCTAAAATCTTTCCATTATGGTACAGCCAGAATTAGATTTCTTATTTGTTTGTTTGTTTTTCTGAGACAGAGTCTCACTTTGTTGCCCAGGCTAATGTGACTGCTGTGGTGTCAGCCTAGCTCACAGCAACCTCAAACTCCTGGGCTCAAACAGTCCTACTGCCTCAGCCTCCCAGGCGTGCACCATTATGCCCGGGTAATTTTTTTTTGTATATGTATTTTTGGTTAGTCAATTAATTTCTTTCTGTTTTTAGTAGAGACAGGGTATCACTCAGGCTAGTTTCGAAGTCCTGACCTTGAGCAATCGCCTCCGAGTGCGCTAGGATTATAGGTGAGAGCCACCGCCCCCGACCTCTATATATTTTTAGTTGGCCAATTAATTTATTTCTATTTTTAGTAGAGATGGGGTCTCACTCTTGCTCAGGCTGGTTTCAAACTCATGAGCTCAAACGATCCTCCCACCTCCGCCTCCCACAGTGCTAGGACTACAGGTGTGATCTACCGCACCCTGGCCAAGGTCATATAGTCTTGGTTGAAATGACAGGAACAAGCATTGGTGAGAAACTGCTGTGAACAATGTAAATTACTAATGTCTCACCCCTATAATCCTAGTACTCTGGGAGGCCAAGGCAGGCAGATCACTTGAGGTCAGGAGTTCGAAATCAGCCTGAGCAAGAGCGAGACCCCATCTCTACTAAAAACAGAAGCAAATTAATTGGCCAACTAATATATATAGAAAAAATTAGCCGGGCATGATAGCACATGCCTGTCGTCCCAACTACTCGGGAGGCTAAGGCAGGAGGATCGCTTCAGCCCAGGAGTACGATGTTGTTGTGAGCTAGGCTAAGGCCATGGCACTTTAGCCCAGGGAAACAGAGCTGTCTCAAAAAAATAAAAATAAATTACTAATGTCCTAGGGTTTATTATCCATAAAATTGGTGTAATTTAACTGCCAGGTCCACCTTACAGGTTGCTGTGAAAATAAGCACTTAATCCATTAAAAGACGTTTCGCTATTGCAACTAAACTAATCCAGCCTCTGCTCAATTTCTCTTCTCTTCTGTATAAGTACAATTCCTTGAAAGTACAACTCCTCCACTTCCTCTCCTATTTTCTCTTTAAAGCACTCTAATCAAGCTTCCCTCTCATTACTCTTGGAACCCAATCTTGTCTAGTGCCAATAACCTCTTCAACTAATCCAATCAGACCTCTTACTTAACCAACCACCAGCAACTGACTTAGTTAAGTAACTCACTCCTGGGGCTGGGCATGGCGGCTCACGCCTGTAATCCTAGCACTCTGGGAGGCAGAGGCAGGAGGATCATTTGAGCTCAGGAGTTTGAGACCAGCCTGAGCAAGACCCCATCTCTACTTAAAAAAAAAAAAAAAAAAAAAAAAACAATGAAATTAGCTGGACAACTAAAAAAAATTAAGCAGGCATGGTGACGCATCCCTGTAGTAGTTCCAGCAACCCCGGAGGCTGAGGCAGTAGGAGCACTTGAGCCCAGGAGTTTGAGGTTGCTGTATGCTAGGCTAATGCCACCGGCACTCCAGCCCCAGCAACAGTAAGACTCTGGGGGCTGGCTGGCTGGCTAATAAATAACAACTCCTTTAAACACCTGGTTGGCTTCCAGGACACTACTCTCTTAGGTTTCCATTCAATCTCCTTCGATGGTTCCTATTAATCTCCTGATCTCTAAATATTGGGAGTGGCTAATAGCAGGAGAGCCCTTGCACCTCTTCTCTATTCATACTATACTCCCTATGAAAAGACATCTAATAGTATCAGGGTTTAAACTAGTCATCCTTATATTCTCCCAGATTTCTTTTTTAAAACTTTTTGTAGAGATGGGGTCTCACTGTTATCCAGGCTGGTTTTTGATCTCCTTGCTTCAAGCAATCCTCCTGCCTTGGCCTCTCAAAGAGGTGGGACTATAAGCACTTTGACTTCCCAACTTTCTATTTCTAGCTCCAACTTCTCTGAACTCCAGACATGAACGTCAACCTGCTTATGTAACATCTCCATCTGGACAGTAAATAAACCTCAAAAATAACAAACCTATACTACAAAACTACCTTGTTGTCCTCATCCTTAAGTCTATTCTTCCTGGAGCTTTCTGCATCTCAGTATATAGAAAATCATTTTTTACATTAATCAGACCAACCATCTTAAGATCATCCTTAATGCCTCACTTTTTTTCATACCCCACATCAAGTATATTAGCAAATTCTGTCTCTGTCACCACCTTTTGCCTGGAATATTCCAAGTTTCCTAATTGGTCTCACTGCACTCAGGAGTCTTTCCATCCCTGCAGCCAGAATGATGCTTTGAAAGTATATTAGAGAGCACACAGCATCCCTATTCAAGCCCCTCATTTCATTTAAAGAAAGCAGCCTATAGGCCAGGCGCAGTGGCGCACACCTGTAATTCTAGCACTCTGGGAGGCTGAGGCAGAAGGATCACTTGAGCTCAGGAGTTGAGATCAGCCTGAGCAATAGAGACCTCTTCCCTACTAAAAATAGAAAAAAATTAGCCAGAGGGTGGTGGTGCATGCCTGAAGTGCCAGCTACTCAGGAGGCTGAGGCAGGAGGATCGCTTGAGCCCAGTTTGAGGTTGCTGTGAACTAGGCTGATGCCTGGGCAACTCTGTCTCAAAAAAAAAAAAAAGAAAAAAATATACTGCCATTCCTAAAGAAGCCCATGGAATGAACTGTGGAAACAAGCCTAGCCCAAAGCTACAGATTAAGACAAATAAATCCTTGAGTGGCAATGAGTAAAGGCAGCTAATTAAGTATTAATTCTGACGTACAGATCACCCACAAAATTTATATTCACTGATCCTTATTCTCTGCACCAAGTACTCAGGAGATATTTTGTGATTTCAACCTAATAGCCACCAATCTAACCTAAAAAGATATTATCAATAATTTAAAGATAAATACAAATGTAAACTCTCTTTAAAAATAAAGTCAATTTGTTTATCTTCTTGATGACTACAGAACAAATATGGTTTTCAAAAAGCTGGCTATTTTATCTTCTGCAACAAACAAAATACAGTTGTTAAAGAGTTAAGTCAACATTATGTTTTCATGTTGTTTCCAAATTACAAACAGGCAAAACCTAAATGCACAAGAAAAATCCTTACCTGCATGCAATGAATAGCTAAGCCAGGTCCTGTATACAACTTCTTATGACATATATGGCATTTAAAATGCTTTGCTTTTTGGTGCTGTATAAGGATCTTCTCATCATCAAAATCTCTATTACAATACCTGATCAATATTGTTAAGGCACAAAAATAGCACAATAATGACTGTCTATCCTAAAACAGAGATAAGATTAAAATACAGAAACACCTAAAATCAAAATGGTACTTTGTATCTCAGTGATCCGCAATAAACTTTTGTCAAATTCCTATGTTTAAAGGAGATGTTATGTGAAATTAACTTTTTTCTTGTTAAATGTCAACACGAACAAATGCACAGAGAATAAGAAAGGGTTCAATGTCAAGAAATCTCCCAGTTCTTGTCAAGACAATTATTTCATTGGATATGTAGGAGATAAAAACAATTGAAATATTAGGAATTTACCAACATTTAGAATCTAAGATTAACTACATGGTGAACAATGACACATAATTTCTAATTAACAATCCATAAAGTTGTTTCCAACTCCGTAAAAATTTATGTTGCCAAGGAATGTATTTAAATTCACAGGAGTTAAATCAATAAAGCTGAGAATTCTTACAACACTACTCAGATTGTACTAAAAGCACATTACCAAATTCGTAATTGCTTTTAAGTTACTTTTTAACCGTTATAAATAAATGCATTTCTGTAAAAAACCGTTTTACGTACTTAACTGTAAATAAAATCAATTTTAACACAAAATATTAACGCTTCCGGAAAAAGCGTTAAAGGATTCCACATTTTAACAAGAGTTTTCCTTTCTAGTAAGATAGGCGATTTTTAGTCCTGCAAAGTTGGGTAACAGATACAAGAAACCCCACCCAGTGAAAAGGCTTCCTGAAGATGAAGGCGCCTCTGGGTGAGAGACACGGAAGCTAGCTCTCCCCCACCCTGGCAAAGAAAAAAAAAAGGGGGGGGGGCTCCGAATCCAGGGTCAACCAAAAAGACAGAAAAAGTGTGTGACAGATTCTGGAAGCTCTTCCTCAAACCTCCACGGAGTCCGTCAATCAGCCGGTTACAGTCGAAGGAAGTCCCTTTGTTGAATCGTCACCAAAACAACGGAGTGTGGCTGAATAGTCCTTATGGGACACTGTCCCGGTGGAGGGGTCCACGCCGCCTCCCAGTGGGTCAAAACAGGCACCAAACAACATCCTCCTAAATCACAGAGTCACACAACCCACAACTGCCTCTCGCCCTAGGGACCCCATTTTCCGAGGAGCCTTCCCAAATCCGATCCCAGCCACCAAGCCCCCACCCCGAGGCCTATACCAGACGCCCCACGCCAAAGGCCAAATCCAGGCCTCTGCGCCCCGAGCCCATCTACCGGCACCGCAGCTCGGCCTCGACTTCAAACCCACAAAGGATATCAGCACCACGGCTTCAGCTGCTTCTTCTTCTTGCGGCCCATAACTGCGCTCTACCGACGAAGAAAAAGGAGGAGAAAAGCAGCAGGAAAAACGAGGAGAAAAATCGCTCACTTTGCCGAACCAACGGCTACCACCGCGTCCCACAGGAAACAGACACAAAATGGCCGACGGCCTCGTTTGCTGCTCCGCATCCCGTCAGCCACTGCGGCGGGAGGCGGAGCCAGGAAAGGGGGTCACATGACGCAGACCTCCGCCCTGAGTGGGTGGAGACTCGCGGCTGCGGAGAGGCAGCCGCCATTTTGTCCGCTTAAACTGTCTGCGCTTTCTCCGGCTTGGTTTGCTGATCTCTCCGGGTTTCTTTTGTTAAGCTAGCTAGCGACCTGATAGGAATTGAAAAACAAACAAGGCCGGTCATGGTGTTTCACGCCTGTAATCCTAGTACTCTGGGAGGCTGAGGCGGGCGGATCGTTTGAGCTCAGGAGCTCGGGATCAGCCTGAGCAAGAGCTAAAAATTCTCTCTTTAATAAGCCCTTCTGGTGACTGTGATGCTCACTCCTGCTTGAGAACCACTGATTTCGGCTAATGACTTGGATATATTTGCCCAAGTTATACTCATTTTTCTTTCCTCCCAACATATTTGCATGTATGAACAAAAAAGTAACTAAAGAAAGCTAAGTATTTTCTTCTTAGCAATGCAGCTCACAAAAAAGATTTTAAACAATGACATGTAAATCAAATTCAAAAGTTATCTTAATTTCTAATTAAGATATATTTTACATCTATTTCTCATACTGCAATTAAAAAATCCATGGCCAAGCAAGACATGGTGGTGCACTCTAGTCCCAGCTACTCAGGAGCCTGAGGCAGGAGGATCACTTGAGTCCAGGAGTTCAAGGCTGCAGTGAGCTGTGATCAAGCCAGATGAGCAAGACCCACAGAGCAAGACTCTTACTTTAAAAAAAAAAAAAAAAACACCCAGCAGTCACATTAGGCCTGGGCAACAAAGTGAGACTCTGTCTCAGAAAAACAAACAAACAAATAAGAAATCTAATTCTGGCTGTACCATAATGGAAAGATTTTAGGTAGCATCATGCTGTTCTCTAACCAACACCTTTAACAATATATTTATCATTGCCCTTATCACTCTTAAATGCAATGAAGATTTATTTGTTTAGTTTTTTGAGACAGAGTCTCACTCTGTTGCCTGGGCTAAAGTTCCATGTCATCAGCCTAGCTCACAGCAACCTCAAATTCCTGGGCTCAAGCAACCCTTGTGCCTCAGCCTCCCAAGTAGCCGGGACTACAGGCATGTGTGACCATGCTCGGCTAATTTTTTTTTTTTTTTTTTTTTTTTTTGAGACGAGTCTCACTCTGTTGCCCAGGCTAGAGTGAGTGCCGTGGCGTCAGTCTAGCTCATAGCAACCTCAAACTCCTGGGTTCAAGCAATCCTCCTGCCTCAGCCTCCTGCGTAGCTGGGGCTACAGGCATGTGCACCATGCCCAGCTAATTTTTTCTATATATATTAGTCGGCCAATTAATTCTCTTCTATTTATAGTAGAGACAGGTCTCGCTCTTGCTCAGCTGGTTTCGAACTCCTGACCTTGAGCGATCCATCTGCCTCAGCCTCCCAGAGTGCTAGGTTACACCTAGCCTAGAGTGAGCCATGGAGCCTGGCCGTCAGTGGAAGATTTATGTGTGTGAATAATTGTATTTCTTTAAAGAATATATGAGTCGGCGTGGTGGCTCATGCCTGTAACCTAGCCTCTGGGAGGCGGTGGCGGGGTGGATTGCTTGAGTCAGGAGTTCGAAACCAGCTGAGCAAGAGTGAGACCCCGTCTCTACTATAAATAGAAATTAATTGGCCAACTAATATATATAGAAAAAATGAGCCGGCATGGTGGTGCATGCCTGTAGTCCCAGCTACTCGGGAGGCTGAGCAGGAGGATCGCTTGAGCCCAGGAGATTGAGGTTGCTGTGAGCTGGCTGACGCCACGGCACTCACTCTAGCCTGGGTAACAAAGCAGACTCTGTCTCAAAGAAAAAGAACATATGAGCTGCTTTATCTGCTTTATGAGAATACGATATGTTTCCCAAAAAAACACTTAGGAAACAGGATGCTGAGTTACTTGTTGAGAGAATTTTATCTATCTTTG